AAAAAATGGAAACAGTGGCAGACTTTATTTTCTTGGTCTCCAAAATCACTGCAGACAGTGACTGCAGCCATGAAATTAAAAGATGCTTGCTCCATGGAAGAAAAGTTATGACCAACCTAGACAGCATATTAAAAAGCAGACACATTACTTTGCTAACAAAGGTCCGTCTAGTCAAAGCTATGGTTTTTCCATGAGTCATGTATGGATGTGAGATTTGGACCATAAAGAAGGCTGAACACTGAAGAACCGATACTTTCAAATTGTGGTGCTGGAAAAGACTCTTCAGAGTCCCTTGGACAGCAAGGAGATCAAACCAGTCAATCCCAAAGAAAGTCAACCCTGAATATTCATTGGAAGGACTGATGCTGAAGTTGAAGCTCCAATACTTTGGCCACCTGTACAAAAGACTCACTGGAAGAGCAGACTCACTGGAAAAGACCCTGAGCTGGGAAAGACTGAAGGCAGGAGAAGGGAACGACAAGAGGATGAGATGGTCGTATGGTATCATGGATTCAATGGACAAGAGTTTGAGCAATCTCAGGGAGATAGTGATGGACAGGGAGGCCTGGTGTGCTGCAGTTCATGGGGTCACAAAAGTCAAACATCACTGAGTGACTGAACAACAACAGCAACACCTCATGCATTTAAGAATTTTACTAAGGTATTATTTTAAGAAATATAATTGTTGAGTCAACTTCACTAGATAATGCTGAATCATTTTTCAAAGTGAATGGGCCAATTTATATTTATTGCAGAGAAGAGTTCCCTTTAGTCCATATTCCCACCAAAACTTAAGATATCCAATTTAAATCAATTTAATAGATGGAAAATAGTATTTCATTTTAGTTTTTAATTTTTACATTTTGATCCCTAATATGTTTGAGCATCTTTTCATGTGCTCATTGGCCACTCAGATTTCTTTTCTCCTACAATATGACTATTTAAGTCAATAGTCTATATGTAGACTTTTCTCATTGGCTCATAGAGGACTTTTTATATAGGTTTCTTTCAGTTTTTTATATTTTTCAAATATTTTCTTCCAGCTTCTGGTATGTCTTTTTGTTTTCACAGAAGCATTCTTTTGATAAGTAGAAGTTCTTAATCGTAATGCATTCAATTTTCTCAATTGTTTCCTTTATGGATTTGCTTAAGTGTCTCATGTAAGGAACCATTTCTTACACTGAAGTCATAAAGATATTCTTCTATACTGAATCCTAAATTTTACAGCTTTTCTTTTCAAATTTCAGTAATAATTCATCTGGAATGAACTTTTGAGCTCAGATTGAGATGAGGATTGCAATTTTACCATTTACCCTTCATTGAAAAGCCTAATATTTCTCAACTCATATAGAGTGTTATCTGTGTCACAAACAAACTTTCTATGTGGTAGGGTCTGTTTCTGAGCTAACTGACCAAGTTGTCCATTCTTTTGTCCTAGGTTCTAACTTGCTACAGTTTAATAATAAATATCTCTTAACATAATATAATAAATATCTCTTAATAAATAATAAATACCATGTGAAATATTATGGTTACTTCTGGTGCACTGTTCTTTCATATATATTTGAGCATCAGGTTATCAAATTCCATCTAAAAATTCCTTAGAATCATTTTATTTCAATCATATTGAATATATAAATTAACTTACAGAAAATTGACTGAATTAAGCTATTGGGTCTCTTAGTTCATCAACAAAAGGTATTTTTTTTGTCTTTCTATACAAGCTTTCTTTAATAAAGTTCAATAAAATGTATTTTTCTCCATGAAGGTCATACTTATCTTTTGTTAGGCATGTTCTTGCCTTTAACACGGTAAATAGCTTATAAATTATATTTTCTCTATGTAGGTACAGTGAAATAGATGTTATATTTTATATTAATTCTGCATCCAGCAAATTCGCTGAAATCATTATTCTATCTGTAATGTATACTCTGTATATATATTTGAGATTTTCCAAACAATCACTTGGTAATAATAACTCTTATGATAACTCTTGGTAATGATAACTCTTATTTCTTTCTAATTTATTTCTTTAATTATTTCTTCATGCCTTTCAGTACAATGTCAGATGCAATACTGACTGATTTTCCAGTGTTAAACCACACTTGCATTATTGGCTAAACTCAACTTGGCCATGACATCTTTTTTATGTTATTGAATATGGTTTGCTACTATTTTGTTTAGGATTTTTTGTATTATTTTGAGTAGGAAGAACTTCTTATTCTTTTGAATAGGAATAACTTACAAATCTTCTTTTTCATCATTATTTGGTGTTGGTACCAAAGCCATATACCTCATTATATACATTTCACACTCTAAAGGTTTGACTGTATTCCTGGTATCAGGAACGATTTCTATGATGGAAGGATATTTCTAAGTTCATACAATGGGCAGGAGAAGATCTATGCAATATAGATCTTGGTATCACTTAGGCCATTCCAACTATTCTGTTTCTACTACATGTTTATTCAGTTATGACTAAAAAGAAGTCATGTCAGTATGAATCACCAGATTGCTATTTCCAAGGTCCCAAAGGTTTTCAAGGAATGAAATATGCATTAATTATTTTTTTCTTGGCTTTATATGCAGAAGATTTTGGTGCAATATGATAAAGATAAGGTCTTTTTGTAAATTCATAGTCTCTCAAAACTATTAAAATGTGGTAGCAAAAGCCCACAGAAAGGTGCTAACCCTCTAAGTGCCAAAGACAAGCACAGCTTATCCCTGCAGTCCTTTCCCTATCTTCAGTTTCTAATCTATCCCTAACTAGATTCTTTTATCCCTGTATTCCATACTGTTTTTCTTTCACTGTTTCAGATTATGTTCCTAACTAAACGTCATTCTCCTCACTTAACCCTTCTCTCCACTCTTCATCTTAGTATCATTAGAGTGATTCAGTTCGACTCAGTGTCTTGGCTTCCTCTCACTGCCCAGTGTCGCACTCATCCCTGCATGTATTAAAGTCAACCAGCTATGGAAAGCTGCCACTGAAGAGATTACTACACACTGCTACTGCTGCTGAGTCAGTTCAGTCGTGTCCGACTCTGTGCGACCCCGTCCCTGGGATTCTCCAGGCAAGAACACTGGAGTGGGTTGCCATTTCCTTCTCCAGATTACAAACTAGTGGTAGGTAAAAAGTGGTAGGGAAAGCTACACGAGGTGCTACTGGCTGAGTAAAAAACAGCCCTCAGCCCAGCTGGGAGAGCCCAGGAAAGCTATTGGAGGAATGGATGAAACCCAAACAGAGTCCTGAAAGGTGAACAGGATTAACAAGAGCAACAAAGAGTGCAGGGAATGGCATTCAAGGTACAGAAAACAGGAGACGCAAACGCAAGGGGAACCACAGGGCCCCTGTGGCCCACTGGAACGTTAGTTTCCCGGGATAACAAGGCCCAACACTCACTGTGCATTTCAGCATTTTAGAGCTTTTTGGTAAAAAATTATATTCAACTCATAGATGTTTTTAAAGTTGGAAAAATGCTGTCATTTGTGTTTGTTTTTATGGCATTGGTGTAACATTGCTAACTCTGCAGCTCATCACTGAATTGTTCTAGAATGGTTTCTAGAAAGTACAAAGTCTGTAATACGAGAGAAATTTAATTTAATTTAAATTTTATCTGATATTTTGTATCTGGGTCATGAATTAATATGACAATGTGGTAGTTGGAAAGAAAAGAAGAAAACATATTCAAATCACTTGAATTATAATAAACAAAAATAACCTCCAAAGATGAGATACAAAAAGATGGCATTATTTAGGCAAAGTTTTCTGTTCTAACTTCTGATTTCCCTTCACACTCTACATCTTCCTGTCTCTGCTCAGTGTTGTGAATAATAATGTTTCTACACACAGACAGCACTACTAGAGAAGACCTTTCACATGAAGCAGCAGGCCACCTCCTGAGCACAGTGCGTTTCAGCGTGTGTGCGTGTGTGCACGTGTGTGCACTGCTTGAAAGCGAAGGTGAAGCCGCTCAGTCGTGTCCGACTCTGTGCGACCCCGTGGACTGTAGCCTACCAGGTTTCTCCATCCATGGGACTTTCCAGGCAAGTGTACTGGAGTGGGGTGCCATTTCCTTCTCCAGGGGATCTTCCCGTCCCAGGGATTGAACCCAGGTCTCCCGCATTGCAGGCAGACGCTTTGTAGGCAGTGCACTGCTTATAAGACCAAAAATGAACACAATCTTTAACTGAATGTCTTCCAAGTACCTTATGATTCTGGATTTCAACGACAATGACCACTAGTAGAGATCTGGAGATCATAAACCAAAGGGTATGATTAAATATAATAATTTTAAAAGTCCAGTCAAATTGGAGTCTGCATACAAGTTGAAAAGTTTTGTATTTCTCCTATTTTTCTGGCTCCTCTAATCACCATAAAACAATCTCCCTTTTAAATACACCTGACTTCCCATTTCTAAGTTACTCTATCACTGTTACTGGCAGCTAAAGATAGTAAAAATTATTTTATTATTTAAAGTATAAAATGTTTTTATACATTTTAGTATGCCTACAATATGTCATGTAAACAAGTCGTACTATAATTTAAAGATATATGCATTTAGTCCTTTTAAAAATTAAGAACTTTATCAAATGATCCTTTTCTAAGAAATAATCACTGAATTTAAAGATGATATATTTAAATTGCTTTGTATATTATATTTTATAAACATCATACAGCCCTATTGTTAGTTATCTTTTTCTTCTCCTTAATATGAATTACAAACTATTTAAAATGTTAGGGGTTAAAAATATCCACGGTGAAATATTAGGAAGTAAGTCCAAATTGCAGAACCTGGGACTAAAATGTGTGCTATGTTTTAGAATTAAATACTATTTTTTGAGTGATTATTTTCATATTGTTATTCAACATACAAAACACATGGTTCTAGAGAAGTTCTTCTGAGCACAGAGCTAGTTAATAAGACACACAGAATTTTTAATTTCACACATGAAGCAGGAAGGTAAAAATAAGCATTATTTTCCACCAAAAAACAAACCTTTAGGAAATAGTTGTTATTGTTATTGCAGTTGCCAGACACTCCTTGCAATTCAGCCACAGTGTTCTAAAATGGTTGACAACAAAAATTAAAAAAGGCTTTTCCCTCCACTAGAGACAGTAGCCTAATATAAAGGAAGGAAAAACACTGAAGTTCCAGTGCTTACTTTAACATAAACTTTCAAGAACTAAGAGAACACCCCCAAACTCTTAGTTTTTCAACCATGTAAACAGTTATAAAGCCAGTTCATATTATTAAAAGGTCATCCAAAGTGACTGCAATCTCTTGTTCGTACAACACAACCTGCTTCCAAACAGGAACAGCAAACAGCATAAGTCAAATGTAATGTCATCCCTTTAATGCTTTTTCACATAAAAATTACATTTTTGTAAACCTTTAACTCTTATGCAAACCATAACTTCCATTATATTTCTGCTTCTAATTATTACATATTAACACAAGCAATAAAAATATAGGTCCATGTAGGCACCTGCTCTAAATTGCATTCAATACTTTAAAAGATTCTAAAAAATAAACTAATGTTGTCATGATGTAGTTGTGATAATAATAATTTCTAGTAATAAAAACAAATTATGAAAGAAAGATTAAATTATATTTTAAGAGAAGGAGCCTCGGTTTCTGGAGTGATAATTAATCTCGCTACAAACTACTACACAAAAAGGCTTTGAAATGCCATCTATAATCTAAGACTTCAAAGTCTAATAAATATTATATCTTAACATTCAAAGAAGCAAAAGCATAATAATCATATAATTTTAAAAAGTGTATGTAAAATAACTCATTTTAATGTGAACAACCATTACATACGTTCTAATTTTAAAAAGTGGTACAGTACCAGTTCACATTTCATTTCCAATCTAAGCCCACAGTGTTTCGCATTACATTTTGCTCTTTTTGATAGAAATGAATTCCCCAAAATACAGATACATGACTCCTGTGACATAAAACATATGCCAGAATTACATCATCTCGCCTTAAAAGGTAAACACTGATAGCTGTGGCATATGAATGGAAAGAAAATGTTATTGAAAATAAAATCTAGTTGAAAAATTTACTATACCCTCAGAATTTCATGAGATAGTGCTGACTGTCTGAGGGGTTTACTGAAATCCTCCATGGTTACCTTTCAGATTGTTTTTTTTTTTAAAAAGAAGAAAAGAAAGAAAGAAAAAGAAACAAACAATTTTATAAATCCAGAAGTACAATGCCTTATCACAGATACACTCAGATCTAGATTTAAAATTTTTCAGTGGTTCAGATTTACATCTCCCTCTTCTTTAAAGGATCCGTTATTTTATTTTTCAGCTGTTAGACAGAGTCATTTTAACTTAAAAAAAAAATCAGAATGTTTAACAGAGAATGAATAGAAACAGGAATGCAATTCAAATTGAATTGGGCATTCGCATATTTTAAACTCTTCCAGTTTAAATATTTGAAGGAAAAAAACAGAAAATTCAGAAATTTAAATGAAGTTTTGGGATTATCTATGTATTTTAAATTCTACTGGAGTATGACTTTTAATTAAACTATTAAAACAGATACATATAAGCACACACAACGCATGGTAAAGTATTCTTAATCTTCAATACGGTTCTGATAAGAGGCCCACTGTACTTTTACAACTTCAGGACATATTTCCTCACAGTGCAATGTTTTCCTTATAGGCAATTCAAGCAAGCAGCTCCCCTCTGTCGATGTGACAGTTTCCAAGTTAAGAATCAACCTTGGGTTATTTGACCAAAACCAGAGTTATCTGTTCTTCAGTAGACAATGCTGATCTAAGTGCTGGCTCTGGAAATTAACTGCATGAACCTGGTCATTCTGCTTTTAATTAGAGGTTTTCCTGGCTGGCCTAGCGAATGTCATGGGGGATATTACCAAATAAAAATGATTCTAACTTTGAAATCACAAGATGATTCTGTAAATGGTAAGAAAAACGAGAAACCAAGTGACTGATTACATACACAACTCAGGGTTAACAGGATATGTAAGTCAATAAATTGTTCAATTACATATGAAATTAATAAATTATTCAAGGACCATGCAAATAGTTCATTGGATAACCAATATTGGTTATTTTCATTTTCATTATGTATTTTACTTTTCATTAACACACAGAGAGAATAAATAAAAAATAAGGACATAACACAAATCAATTAAAAAAACATCTGGAAGCACTAATAAAAAATAAGTCTAAATCAAGTAAATAAATTGACATGTTTACACAAAGGTGGATTTTCACTATTTGCAGACCTTTCATCTCTCCAACACACAGAAAAGTAATGGTTGGTTTTAGCTGGGCATACTTTGGTGAGGCAGTGTGTAACACAGAAGAAAGGGAGAAGGATATGTCCAAAAGGAACATGGGAGAGAAAGAAACAATGAGAAAGAACTCCTTGACCTTTTCAATAAAGTGAAGGTGACTTGGTGTAGCAAGCACCTGCTTTCTATTTCAACATCTTGCAGGCAGAAGAAAAAGTTTAACCTAAAACTATTTTTTGTAGAATAGTTGTATACTCAGCTATTCCATTTAAGCCCTATCTTCATAGGCTACTTCTGGATTAAGTATTTACCTATTGTAAAATAACTCTTCAAGTATTTGATCCCCCTATTAATAGAAATTTATAGAACAAAGAATTCCAGAACCTAGGTATTCTTCCAGAACAAGAAACTTCATTACCCAAAACAGGAATCCTCCTTGCAGCATCTCTTGTATCCCAGTGACTCTGTGTGTGCCTAGATACAGACATACACACCAGTCTACTCCATTCAAAATCAGCAGTGTGTTGCAAAGAGTCCAGGCTTCGGAGCCAGGAGAACCCTGTTCCCATCCTAAATCTGGCAGCCATTAGCTATACCATTAGAAAAAGCCTCAATTATTACATCTTTAGAAAAAGGCGGGGGGTGGGGGAGATTCTCTTCTGCTTGTTATAAAGATGATCTGAAATCATGTAGGGAAGACACCCAGCAAAGTGCCTGGCACTGAATATTTATTTACTATCCTCCTTGCCCCTGAGAATATCTGCTCAGGTGACAATCAACACTGCTTTCCTTATAAAAACAGGCATGCTGCTGCTGCTAAATCGCTTCAGTCATGTCCGACTCTGTGAGACCCTGTGGACTGTAGCCCACCAGGCTCCTCTGTTCATGGGATTCTCTAGGCAGGAATACTGGAGTGGGCTGTCATACCCTCCTTCAGGAGATCTTCCCGACCCAGGGGTCAAACGTTGGTCTCCTGTATTGCAGGCAGATTCTTTACCGCTGAGCCACCAGGGAAGTCCCCACAAACAGGCATACAAAGAAATAAACAAAATCCATATGGTATATTTCTAAGTATAAACATTGAATGACAAGTATTCCTTATGCATTTATTCAAATTATTAGAGAAAATCTTACATTAAAAAAAAAACTTTAGGTTGAAAGCTTTGGCAGATCAATGTGATCTATTCCTCAAAATAACTGGAGGAAATATGTTGTATGTGATCTAAAATGTTCAGTTGGGAAGCCTTAATTAAAGAAATATCTGATTTTTCCCTCTTTCCTTGTTAGACCTGATGCTTTATTCCTCATGCTTTATGGAATATGAGAAACTGGCCCCATACTTTTAAGCAAAGACACAGATCCAGAGACTGGAAAATTTGGCCTCCTCACCTTCCACCACTTGATGTCACCCGTACTCCCCTGAACCTCAAATCCAAATTTTTTCTAACAGAGTGAGCAGGTAACAGCCAAATCTGCAATGATTCTACAATACTAATTCAGGCTTGCAGCCAAAGCAAATCAGTGTCTCTGATTTGCTTGTGTAATAAAACACAAGATTCTTGTGCAGAGAACTGAAAAATAGGGAAGATGAAAGTTCAGAAATCTGAGGAAATCACTGTTTTAGTTTCAAAAAAATACTTGCCATTTAAAATGAATTCTGAAGGTGAAAAACTAAATCAATCAAATAGAATTTTAAGAAACTAATTCACTCACGTGAAGAATAGTCTGATGTTTATTCCTAGATCAATAGTTGACTGAAGCACCACTGAAAAAATTTTCTACTATAATAAAGAGAGCATATATTCTCATTATATTACAAACAAATGAAAAATGAATATACACTTGTGTTAGAACATTCCACACTAAAAATACATGAAAAATATTTGAATGTCTCTTTATTAATCTTCGCTAGGTCCCTGCTAGAAACCAAAACAGTTCTGGAGAAATGATATATTCAGATGAGTAGAGGTTGAACATATGAAGTCGCACTGTCCTTCTGTCAGCTGGTATAAAGAAGAGTATCTATTTTACCTGAGTATTCACTGTTTATGGGGCATGAAACACTGCAGCTACACTGCTGATGGATCCTTTGACATGTCAATGTGAAACATATGCATGTTTAACATGCTTATAAAAAAGTATGTTGTCCCATTATATCAATGTACATTTGGCACTCACATTAGAAATAGACCAGCATCTGTATTATATTACAACACACAAGGGTTCTGGTGAGTCGTTTTCACTTGGGGGTTAGCTTCTATTCATTTGCTTGATCTTTCACAGAGAGCAGGATGCAAAATTATTCCAATATGGATCTACTCTGTGGAATATGCACTGGTGGAAAAGCTTTGTTCTGCATTATGTTAGCACAAATCATAGTGAGCAGATCCAAAGAACTTTCTCTTCCTGGGGGGAAGAAAATCTAAAAGCACTCGGCAATTTTCAGTACTTTCTGTGTATGTTTGTGTATGTATGTGTGTCTTTTCATTCAAAATGTTTACTGATTTTTTAAAAAAAGTGTTCCCTGTTACATACTTACTGTAGAAAACCTGGAAAAAAATTGAAAAATACAAAGCAGAGAGAGAAAAATCCAAGATAGCTAGTATTTATATTTTGATATTTTTACCCTTTTTTTGTTTCAATGAATGTATCTTAATAATATGGTAAAAGAGGACTTATTTGATCCAGAAGACTTCATACTGTAAATATGATACCATTAATTGATTGATAAGCTATTAACAAACACAAGCAATATTTCCTTTCTATAAGACTGAAGCTGACACATTCTCCTTGAAAAACTGCAAAGATCTGTCTTACTGCTATATAGTAAAGAGAGTTTTATCGAGTCGGGATGTAGTAAGAAGAAATGAAGGGAGAAGAATGTTTGCAAGCGCGGCTTACCTCATCGTCGTCAGCATCATACTGGGCATAGTGCTGTTCAAGCAGCTCTCTCTGGCGTCTTTCTTGTTCCAGCGTCTGGCTTATCAACTGGGCAACCTCACTCACTTGTCCTGGTTTTTCTCGCCCAATAACAAATCTACATGAAAGTAAAGAGAACTGGTATAGTCAGACTCTCCAGCAGAAAAGGAAGCTAAGGAAAGTAAATAAGCTTCATATTTCATCAGAGTGTATCAAGCCTCAAAAAAATAATATTACCTGTTTTTTTAAAGGTATGCTTGGGTAGAAGGAAAGGTTAGCTGAGCAATTAAAGTGATTTTTGCAGCCACAGACCAAAGGGAAAGAGGAAAAGTAAAGAACCACAAAAAATTATCACTTTAGGAGAAGACAAAACAGATGTAATCCATTCTCCAGTACTTTACACATTTTTGATACCCTACAAAATGAAAGCAAGGTCATAATTTTCTGTAACACTTAACTTTAAAATCATTTCCATAGTTACCGTCTCTTTAAAATGCTAAAACTACTTGAAAAACATTTTGAGGTGTGGCATACTCTATGTGAGTAAATAAGAAAGAGGCATTGACTTTTTGCTAAGTTACTATGACTCTGAAGGTAAAAACAAAAGAAGAGAAAAAAATGTAGTTTTTTTTTTTTTGTCTGTGTCTTTAAAATGAAAAACTAAAACAAAGGAGAGGTAAATCAGTTCACTAAGTTTGGAGAAAGATGGTAGGAGGAAGGATGTGGCCTCAAGAAATACTCAAGAGGAAATACCTGTGAATATAATTCCTATAAGAAAAAAATATAAAAAGAGAAAATCAGGGAAGACATCTATTTATTGCTATCTAGTCATTTATGATCAGGGAAGGCAATGGCACCCCACTCCAGTACTCTTGCCTGGAAAATCCCATGGACGGAGGAGCCTGGTGGGCTGTGGTCCATGGGGCCACGAAGAGTCAGACATGACTGAGCGACTTCACTTTCATGTTTCACTTTTCCCTCTCATGCATTGGAGAAGGGAATGGCAACCCACTCCAGTGTTCTTGCCTGGAGAACCCCAGGGACGGGGAGCCTGGTGGGCTGCTGTCTATGGGGTCTATGGGGTCACACAGAGTCGGACACGACTGACGCGACAGCAGCAGCGGCAGCAGCAAGTCATTTATGATACATCCTCAGTGATACTATGTTTCTTATTCAACAAATTAATATTCACTTTTTAAAATCTTTTCACACTAATATATGGCTCTATCTTTCTAAAAATACAAATAATATGTCTCCATAATATAGTTTCCATATAGTATTTAACTTCATTATTTTGGTTAGTAACTCTGCTTAATTTTGCTGATATACTGAACTGATGTTTTCCTCTGATTGGGCTTTTCAGATGCCTCAGGGATAAAGAATCTGCCTGCAATGCAGTAGACAGGAGATGCAGGTTCAATATTTGGATTCGAAAGATCTCATGGAGGAGGAAGTGGCAACCCACTCCAGTATTCTTGCCTGGAAAATCCCATGGACAGAGGAGCCTGGCGGGCTACAGTCCCTGGGGTTTCACAGAGTCGGACATGACTGAGCAACTAACACTTCTGATTACAATATTTTGCTATTTTCAATTACAATTTTAAAAGAAATACTCTTCCATTCTCTGTACAAATACACTAAACGTCAAAATTTTTATACTTGCATGTTAGTAATTAAATATATTTTTAGAGATATTTTTATGTTGTTTCAAATAGGACTGTGAAAGTATGCTTCAGTGTTCATTTATCATCCAAGTTATTTTTCTTTGGGAAATTAATCACTGAGTTGTAATCATTTTCTATATATTCTGGATACATATATTTTAGGTAGTTAGAATAAGAAAAAGGAGTCCAAAGTAGTAGTGGCAAAAAGACAAAGAAAGGAAAAATAGAACAAAGGAAGGATCAAGGACCTGAGTAAGAACCTCAGATGAAGCAAACAGCCCTCCTGGCTAGCCCAGTTTACATAGGACAGGCTCAGGGGGAGGAGAAAAACACATAAAAAGGGGAGCCAAAATTAAGCCGCTGGCTTCTCTTTTCTCTTCACTTCTTTTGGGCTGGCCTGCTCTTACACCTTGAGGATGTATCTTCCTTTGCTTGCCAAATAAAACTGAGCTGTAACACTAGTCCATCCATCGCTTCAAATTTTTGGTGCAGTGAGACAAAACTAAGGAAATTACACACTCCCCCGACATATATATGTATTATAGATACACACAGAGACACACACACAGATCATATATGCATATGATTTATTATATTCTCTCAACCTGTGGCTTGCCTTTTGATTTTCCTGTCTTTCAAGGAAGTCCAAATTATTCTTTTTTAAAAGATTGTGATTTGTGCCTCCTACCTAAGAAATCTGCCTGATTAAATGTTACAAGGATTTTTCTCCTGTTAGGTTGGTGCAAATGTAATTTCTGTTTCAGGTGGTGAATTTTAAATCATTATAACTAGGTTCAAACACATTTTTATTAATCAAATGGGAACGCTTACAATCAACACAATTTTTCCAGTGAGAAATAAGTTTATCTCTGTGGCATAAAAATCTGTAGCTGGGGATTCAAAGAACTCTTGGAATGCGTTTTCTGGATCCTGCTGGTTGTGGAAGCATTTTCCCTGCAAAAAGTGTCGAGATGCTTGAAGAAATGATAGTCGGTTGGTGAGAGGTGAATATGGTGGAGGAGGCAAAACTTCACAGTCCAATTTGTGTAAGAGTTTCACGTGTGGCAGGATGCTGTCATCGGGAAGGGCTGGGCTCATTCTGTTGAACAATGCCAGCTGCAGGGGCTGCAGTTTTTGGTGCGTCTCATCAATCTGCTGAGCATGATTCTCAGATGTACTATTTTCACAGGGATTCAGAAGGCTGTAGTGGATCAGACCAGCAAAAGACCACCAAACAGTAACCATAATCTTTTTTGGTGCAAGTTGGCTTTGGGAGGTGCTTCGGAGCTTCTTCTTGGTCCAGCCATTGAGCCGGCCATCACCAGTTGTATACAATCGACTTTTTGTCACATTTTGCAAACTAATTGAGAAATGGTTCATTGTTGTTGCACAGAATAAGAGAAGAAGACACTTCAAATTGACAATTTTTTTGATTTCTGGTCAGCTCACGAGGCATCCACTTTTCGAGATTTTGCACCTTTCCAATTTGCTTCAAATGTGAATGACTGTAAAATGGTCAACGTTGAGTTCCTAGGCAACTTCTCAAATAGTTGTAAGAGGATCAGCTTTGATGATGACTCTCAACTGTCATTGTCAACTTCTGACAGCCAGCAATCACGCTCATCGTCAAGTCTCTTGTCTCCTTTGCAAGACTTCTTGAACCACCACTGCACTGCACTGTACGTTAGAAGTTCCGCAGCCAAATGCACTGTTGATGTTGTGAGTCATCTCTGATGTTTCACAACCCACTTTGAACTCAAATAAGAAAACTGCTCAAATCTGCTTTTTGTCTAACATCATTTCCATAGTCTAAAATAAATAGAAAATAAACAGCAAATACAGACTCTAAGAGTACCTTGGACAGCAAGGAGATCAAACTAGTCAATCATAATGGAAATCAACCCTGAAGGACTGATGCTGAAGCCCCAGTACTTTGGCCACCTGAGGCAAAGAGCCAACTCACTGGAGAAGACCCTGATGCTGGGAAAGATTGAGGGCAGGAGGAGAAGGTGACGACAGAGGATGAGATGGCTGGATGGCATCACCGACTCAATGGACCTGAGTTTAAGCAAGCTCCGGGAGATGGTAAAGGACAGGGAAGCCTGGTGTGTAGCAGTCTCTGGGCCACAGAGAGTTGGACATAACTTAGCAACTGAACAACAACAAGTTACTAGCAAAAAAAACATAAAGCAAGAAATGTGCATTTAAATGATAATTAACATAACCACATTTATTTACAATATATTCCAATATCAAATGGCAAATTTCAACAATGCAAAAACCACAATTACTTTTGTCTCAACCTAATATTTCCCTTTTGTTAATGCTTTGATTTTATATCAGGTAGGTGAAATCTTTCACATTTATTTTCATGCATGATGTTTGGTAAAGGAGGGCTCAATATTTTCCAAATGGGTAGCCAGTTGTTTCAATACCATGTTTTGAAAAGGCTATTTTAATACCACCACTGAATTATTCAGGCACATTTGCTGAAAATAAATTGACCATGTACTTGTGTGCTGATTTCTGAACTTTTCAATTTTCTCCATTGATGTTTTTATCCCTGTGCCAATACCACACAGCCTTGATTGCAATATACTTAATCTTGAAACTAGTGCTGTGAGTTATTCAATTATGTATGCCCTTTTCAAAATTACTGACTATTCTAAGTTATCTAAATAGCTATATAAATTTTAAAACTAGCTTACCAGTTTCATTTAAAAAGCACATTGATGTTTGATTTGGGATTACTTTGAGTCTATAGATCAATTTGTAGATCAGTTCTACTAATAATATAGAATTCTCTGATCCATGAACATGGTAATCTCTACATTTATATTTAATTATTTCTATTATAAAGTTGCCAATATTATGTAACAATATTATGTTAGTTACAGGTGTATTATATAATGCTTTGATACTTGCATACATTATGAAAGACCCCTAAGTCTAGTAACCATCTGTCCCCATACGGATTTACTACACTATTACTGACCATATTCCTTATTCTGTATATTACACCTTGACTTCCTTAACATATAACTAGAGATTTGAATTTCTTTTTTAAAAAATATTTTTACTTTTCTTCTTTTCTAATTTATTTTTTTATTGAAGGATAATTGTTTTACAGAATTTTGTGTTTTCTGTCAAACCTCAACATGAATCAGCCATAGGTATACATATATCCCCTCCCTGTTGAACCTTCATCCCATTTCCCTCTAGACTGATACAGAGCCACTGTTTGAATTTCCTGAGTGATACAGCAAATTCCCGTTGGCTATCTATTTTACATATGATAATGTAAGTTTCCATGATACTTTTTCCATACATCTCACCCTCTCCTCTCCTTACCCCATGACCATAAACATATTTTCTATGTCTGTTTCTCCAGTGCTGTCCTGTAAATAAATTCTTCAGTACCATTTTTCTAGATTCCATATGTATGCGTTAGAAT